AAAATGACTAAAAATACAGATTTCTATTGTAATATTTCCCTGTGAAAAAAATGAGTATTTAAGAAAGAAAATGTCTATAATATTTTAAAATAAAAATGATATTATTTTAATTTTAATTGAATGAATATGTTCATTTTAATATATCACAATGGTAAACAATACTAAAATGTATGGCTGTCTTAATGGTCACATTCAAAAGTTAAACTTGGCAAAACGCCGGGAGCCAATCAAAGCTCGTCTTCTGTTTGAGAAATGCTTCTCATTAGTTTGATGCAGATCGGCGCATCATCATAAATGAAGAGCAGTGCTATGCTTCGCTCTGAAACACGCAGCGCATACATTTAATTAAATCAGAAAGTCAATCTAAGCATATCTAATGGACAATCAACCTTTTTCACACCCAAAATTTCCCCGAAGTTCACCTCGAGTCTGCAGCATCTTTAAAGGGCTTGACCATTAAACCATCGTCTTCTTCTGACTCTCTATTGGCCTTATTTGGAGATCTGGCCATAGTTTGCCATTGACTCCTTAAGCGGGGAATCTCAGTCTCATGCCATTCAACAAACCAGGACATTCCAGAGCCCAGATCCTGAGTCTAATCATCTGGACTTGATTGGATTACATGGCTTTTCCTGAACACAAGTTCACATGAGCCATAACTAATCAGAGGGAACGCATACAGCATTAACACACACACCCTAAGTCACGCTCATACTCTGTGTGTGTTTCTCAGATGTGGCGGTTCAGCTGCCAGATAAGAAGTCCATCATCATGTATGTGACCTCACTCTTCGCTGTGTTCCCCAATGACATCACACTGGATGACATCAGAGAGGTGGAGACGCTGCCCCGACGCTTTAAGGTGGAGCACGATGAGGAACATGCTGTGAGTGCACTGGGTTCACACACACACACACTTACTCAAGGCAGAGCATCAGTTAAACACATGAGATCGGGTTTGCATCTTGGGCCCAAACGGTCGTAATCGAGTGTTCAGGCCCATTTGAAGAAGTTTTTAAGGTGGTCTTGTGGTTTGCAGTCGGTTTTAAGGGGGATCCGTCTGGGCTCACACTAAGAAGAATACCTATACATACACTCACGTAAAGGATTATTCCACTACAGATGGCTAAAGTTTGCAAGAGCTCACCAAAATTGGACAGTTGAAGACTGGAAAAATGTTGCCTGGTCTGATGAGTCTCGATTTCTGTTGAACATTCAGATGATTTGGCGTAAACAGAATGAGAACATGGATCCATCATTCCTTGTTCCCACTGTGCAGGCTGGTGGTGGTGGTGTAATGGTGTGGGGGATGTTTTCTTGGCACACTTTAGGCCCCTTAGTGCCAATTGGGCATCGTTTAAATGCCACGGCCTACCTGAGCATTGTTTCTGACCATGTCCATCCCTTTATGGCCACCATGTCCCCATCCTCTGATGGCTACTTCCAGCAGGATAATGCAATCAAACTGGTTTCTTGAACATGTCAATGAGTTGACTGTACTAAAATGGCCGCCACAGTCACCAGATCTCAACCCAATAGAGCATCTTTGGGATGTGGTGGAACGGGAGCTTCGATCCCACAAATCTCCATCAACTGCAAGATGCTATCCTATCAATATGGGCCAACATTTCTAAAGAATGCTTTCAGCACCTTGTTGAATCAATGCCACGTAGAATTAAGGCAGTTCTGAAGGCGAAAGGGGGTCAAATACAGTATTAGTGTGGTGTTCCTAATAATCCTGTAGGTGAGTGTATATCAGTACTGCTCATTTCTCATATTTATAACAAAAAACTGAAAGCTGATGCGACCAGTCATGGAAGACTTGATTATATTGTGGGCGCCTTTATTTTGACACGTTGCAATCCGATGCTTGTAGACGACAGCGTGAGTCATCTTATTACTGAAACTGTAAGTGACAGAAAAACCACAAAGACCATCATGCATTTGTGTAATGACTCTGTTTATAAACTCAGGGCCCTGATGGCAAATGTGAAGTATGAGTTTTAACAGACAGGCACATAATAATGTTATACACAGCAGAGTTGGAGATATATTTAACACCACTCGTGTGAACACTAGAGGAGATCGTCTTGACTTCACACAGCATGAGGTGCTCAGAGAATGCACTCGATGCTAAACTCTGTAATGGCAGCTGAAGAGAGCTTGATGTTGTTCTGATGAGGAAGTGCCTGTGGAAAACGGGCATCACACTCTCATGCCGACACACAACTCTCGCTCGCACACTCTTTCTTCCTCTCTGCCTTCCGCTGACACTGGTAAGAGTGAGTCACACAGCCGTCCAGCATATATAGTGTGCTTTACTGTAACACACTGTCAGAGCAGGGCGACGGTTATCCTTACTTGCATACATGTATACAAGTGCTGTTAAAAAGTTGCACGCCATGTTTTAAGCACGTAAACCATAGTAATATCATGCATTTATGGACATTTATCATGGTAATGTCATGTTTTAACCATATAAACTATAGTAATATAGTGCATTTATGAACATTTATCATGGTAATGTCATGTTTTAACCACATAGACCATAGTAATATCATGCATTTATGGACTTTTCTCATGGTAATGTCATGTTTTAAGACATGTACCATAGTAATATCATGCATATGAACATTTTTCATGGTAATGTCATGTTTTAAGCACATAAACCATAGTAATATCATGCATTTATGGACATTTCTCATGGTAATGTCATGTTTAAGTATATAAACCATAGTAATATCATGCATTAATGAACATTTCTCATGGTAATGTCATGTTTTAACCACATAGACCATAGTAATATCATGCATTTATGGACATTTCTCATGGTAATGTCATGTTTAAGTATATAAACCATAGTAATATCATGCATTAATGAACATTTCTCATGGTAATGTCATGTTTTAACCATATAAACTATAGTAATATAATGCATTTATGGATATTTCTCATGGTAATGTCATGTTTTAACCACATAAACCATAGTAATATCATGCATTTATGGACATTTCTCATGGTAATGTCATGTTTTAAGACATGTACCATAGTAATATCATGCATATGAACATTTTTCATGGTAATGTCATGTTTTAAGCACATAGACCATAGTAATATCATGCATTAATGAACATTTCTCATGGTAATGTTATGTTTTAACCATATAAACTATAGTAATATCATGCATTTATGGACATTTCTCATGGTAATGTCATGTTTTAAGCACATAGACCATAGTAATATCATGCATTAATTAACATTTTTCATGGTAATGCCATGTTTAAGTATATAAACCATAGTAATATCATGCATTTATGGACATTTCTCATGGTAATGTCATGTTTTAAGACATGTACCATAGTAATATCATGCATATGAACATTTCTCATGGTAATGTCATGTTTTAAGCACATAGACCATAGTAATATCATGCATTAATGAACATTTCTCATGGTAATGTTATGTTTTAACCATATAAACTATAGTAATATCATGCATTTATGGACATTTCTCATGGTAATGCCATGTTTAAGTATATAAACCATAGTAATATCATGCATTTATGGACATTTCTCATGGTAATGTCATGTTTTAACCACATAAACCATAGTAATATCATGCATTTATGGACATTTCTCATGGTAATGTCATGTTTTAACCACATAAACCATAGTAATATCATGCATTTATGGACATTTCTCATGGTAATGTCATGTTTAAGTATATAAACCATAGTAATATCATGCATTAATGAACATTTCTCATGGTAATGTTATGTTTTAACCACATAAACCATAGTAATATCATGCATTTATGGACATTTCTCATGGTAATGTCATGTTTTAAGCACATAAACCATAGTAATATAATGCATTTATGGACATTTCTCATGGTAATGTCATGTTTTAACCACATAGACCATAGTAATATAATGCATATGAACATTTATCATGGTAATGTCATGTTTTAAGACATGCACCATAGTAATATCATGCATTTATGGACATTTCTCATGGTAATGTCATGTTTTAAGCACATAGACCATAGTAATATCATGCATATGAACATTTATCATGGTAATGTCATGTTTATATGACATGCACCATAGTAATATAATGCATTTATGAACATTTCTCATGGTAATGTCATGTTTTAAGCACATAGACTAGTAATATAATGCATTTATGGACATTTCTCATGGTAATGTCATGTTTTTACCACATAGACCATAGTAATATCATGCATATGAACATTTCTCATGGTAATGTCATGTTTTAACCATATAAACTATAGTAATATAATGCATTTATGGACATTTCTCATGGTAATGTCATGTTTTAAGACATGTACCATAGTAATATCATGCATATGAACATTTTTCATGGTAATGTCATGTTTTAAGCACATAGACCATAGTAATATCATGCATTAATGAACATTTCTCATGGTAATGTTATGTTTTAACCATATAAACTATAGTAATATAATGCATTTATGGACATTTCTCATGGTAATGCCATGTTTAAGTATATAAACCATAGTAATATCATGCATTTATGGACATTTCACATGGTAATGTCATGTTTTAACCACATAAACCATAGTAATATCATGCATTTATGGACATTTCTCATGGTAATGTCATGTTTTAACCATATAAACTATAGTAATATAATGCATTTATGGACATTTCTCATGGTAATATCATGTTTTTAGGTCATGGCTGACAGGCTGCAGTAATTCACCTTTAATGCCTGTAATAACCGATATAAGCCGCCTGTCTGGTCACTCAAACTGGATTGCATGCATTTGCTTCTGAATGATACAAAGTTCTGCAGATCTCTGAAGTCAGCTGACGGATGAGTCATGACTGAGGCCCTTTAACGATACACACTTAACAATACACGTAAACCAAGACTTGAGTCCCTTATGCCATTTGAACGTTTTGACTCAAGTCTGTTCGGAATGGTAATTTAGGGATTTACACACCCACAGTTAAATGCTGTTTTCACTTTTTCAAATCTTTGCCAGACAATAATCATTAATCCAGAATAATCGATGGTTAATTCCTGGTCGGGTCTCGCTGTACTGTATCTGTGCAGGGTTAGTGCTGTGGGGCGTTTGGGTGGTTCTGCATTCGTCAGACCACAAATGTTTCAATGCTGTTTGTTCCAGCTTTGCTTCACCACCCTCCACACACACACACACACACACACTCTTACAGTCGACCAGAAGAACAAAGTCTGATCCCGCATGTGGGATGAAATTGGCAATTCCAGCGGAGCATGTTCATCAGATGACCTTTTCCCCCAGATGAGGGCCGTTCTCTGTGCATTTATACAAGGAACAAAGCCTTGTTTGAGGACTCAGTTGCTACTATTAGCAGTTTAAATGCTCTTTCAGCTCTGGAAACAGCCCTAAATGAAAATGTTCTGGAGGTGATTATTATTAGTCACAGTTTTGAACAGAAAAGTACCCAAAAATAAACCATGTTTTGGACTTCTTTCATGACAATGCCATGCTTTTTCTCTACTCAAACCATGGACATACCATATTCTATTACTTCTAGTATGGCAATGACACGTGTTTTGGATATGATACCATATTCTTGACCATCGATCATGACAGTGCCTTGTTCTTGGAGTGTGATAATAACATGTTTTTATCACTTTTTGTACTGTTGTAGTTCTTGATATGATTATACCATATTCTTGACATACATCATTACAATGTCATGCTGGTATATGTGGACCATGGTAGTTGCACACTGTTTTTTGTACCATGACAATACCCTTTTCTTCTCATCTATCATGACAATTCCCTGCTTTATTGTACTTGCAGAATGGTGATACCATATATTTTTTAGTTATGTTACCATGGTAATACCGTGTTTTTGACTTGTACTCTGGCAATACCATGTTTTTTGGTCATGTTACCATGGTAATACCGTGTTTTTGACTTGTACTCTGGCAATACCATGTTTTTTGGTCATGTTACCATGGTAATACCATGTTTTTGACTTGTACTCTGGCAATACCATGTTTTTTTTTTAGTTATGTTACCATGGTAATACCGTGTTTTTGACTTGTACTCTGGCAATACCATGTTTTTTGGTCATGTTACCATGGTAATACCGTGTTTTTGACTTGTACTCTGGCAATACCATGTTTTTTTAGTTATGTTACCATGGTAATACCGTGTTTTTGACTTGTACTCTGGCAATACCATGTTTTTTTAGTTATGTTACCATGGTAATACCGTGTTTTTGACTTGTACTCTGGCAATACCATGTTTTTTTAGTTATGTTACCATGGTAATACCGTGTTTTTGACTTGTACTCTGGCAATACCATGTTTTTTTAGTTATGTTACCATGGTAATACCGTGTTTTTGACTTGTACTCTGGCAATACCATGTTTTTTTTTGTTATGTTACCATGGTAATACCGTGTTTTTGACTTGTACTCTGGCAATACCATGTTTTTTGGTCATGTTACCATGGTAATACCGTGTTTTTGACTTGTACTCTGGCAATACCATGTTTTTTTTAGTTATGTTACCATGGTAATACCGTGTTTTTGACTTGTACTCTGGCAATACCATGTTTTTTTAGTTATGTTACTATGGTAATACCGTGTTTTTGACTTGTACTCTGGCAATACCATGTTTTTTGGTCATGTTACCATGGTAAAACCGTGTTTTTGACTTGTACTCTGGCAATGCCATGTTTTTTTAGTTATGTAAACAGTATAATAAAATATTTTTGACTTGTACTCTGGCAATACCACGTTTTTTTTAGTTATGTTACCATGGTAATACCGTGTTTTTGACTTGTACTCTGGCAATACCATGTTTTTTGGTCATGTTACCATGGTAATACCGTGTTTTTGACTTGTACTCTGGCAATACCATGTTTTTTTCGTTATGTTACTATGGTAAACCGTGTTTTTGACGTGTACTCTGGCAATACCATGTTTTTTGGTCATGTTACCATGGTAAAACCGTGTTTTTGACTTGTACTCTGGCAATGCCATGTTTTTTTGGTTATGTTACCATGGTAATACCGTGTTTTTGACTTGCACTCTGGCAATACCATATTTTTTGGTCATGTTACCATGGTAAAACCGTGTTTTTGACTTGTACTCTGGCAATGCCATGTTTTTTTGGTTATGTTACCATGGTAATACCGTGTTTTTGACTTGTACTCTGGCAATACCATGTTTTTTGGTCATGTTACCATGGTAAAACCGTGTTTTTGACTTGTACTCTGGCAATGCCATGTTTTTTTGGTTATGTTACCATGGCAATACCGTGTTTTGACTTGTATTCTGGCAATACCATGTTTTTTGGTCATGTTACCATGGTAAAACCGTGTTTTTGACTTGTACTCTGGCAATGCCATGTTTTTTTGGTTATGTTACCATGGCAATACCGTGTTTTGACTTGTATTCTGGCAATACCATGTTTTTTGGTCATGTTACCATGGTAAAACCGTGTTTTTGACTTGTACTCTGGCAATGCCATGTTTTTTTGGTTATGTTACCATGGTAATACCACCGTGTTTTTGACTTGCACTCTGGCAATACCATATTTTTTGGTCATGTTACCATGGTGAAACCGTGTTTTTGACTTGTACTCTGGCAATGCCATGTTTTTTTGGTTATGTTACCATGGTAATACCGTGTTTTTGACTTGTACTCTGGCAATACCATGTTTTTTGGTCATGTTACCATGGTAAAACCGTGTTTTTGACTTGTACTCTGGCAATGCCATGTTTTTTTGGTTATGTTACCATGGCAATACCGTGTTTTGACTTGTATTCTGGCAATACCATGTTTTTTGGTCATGTTACCATGGTAATACCGTGTTTTTGACTTGTACTCTGGCAATGCCATGTTTTTTTGGTTATGTTACCATGGCAATACCGTGTTTTGACTTGTATTCTGGCAATACCATGTTTTTTGGTCATGTTACCATGGTAATACCGTGTTTTGTTCATGTCATACTCCTCAGGGCAGTGCTCTTTTCTAAGATCAGAACAGAGTTATCAGTCCAAGCGCATTATTAGTTATCTCTCTTATGTGTCCCGCTGTTGTCCTATTCCCCAGAGCTCCCGGGTGTGGTGCCGTTTGGTTTCCCCGATGTCAGGTTTCAGATCTGACGGGTTCATCACCTGATTCTGTCTCTTTTATTATACAGCACAATGGCTTCTATTACCACCGGACTCTCAAAGCTCGCGGTCGATTAGTGTTTCACTCTTATCAACGAGCTGTGGCATTTCTGGCTTGGGTGTGCTGTGGAATGTAGGTCGCCGGTGTTAGCAAAGCCGTCAGTTTTAAGGCGTGGGACATAAACATCTGAGAATGTGGCTGATATCCCACGACCGGCCCTGTTTTGTGTTCAGCTGGGGACACGTGCCAAAAGCAGCATTGTCTGCGTGTGAAGGTGCGGCGATTGTGTTTAATGGTAGCATGAAGTGTCATCTCACAACAGGTGCTGGAGTGAATCTCAGGAAAAAAAGTACTTTCCACCACTTCCAGAGGGAGTTAAAAACACATTCGACCGGATTACTTTAGTAGTGTGAACGCTCATGTGGTCGAATGTGTTCAAATGCACTTCAATGGGAATCAAACGGTTCAAGGTCCAAAAGATAGTTTCAGTGCAAACTGTTCAAAGGGCTTTAAACGATTCCAGACGATGAATAAGGGTCTTATCAAGCGAAACGATCGCTCATTTAATAAATAAATAACAAAGTTTAAGTTTAATAAGCACAAATGCTCACCTTGCTCTGTTCTGTGATGCACGTTCGTGACTCTCCTGTTCGAACTCATTCATCAAAATGAACAAATCTTTTTTTCTGAGTCATTTGGTTCATTCAACGAATGAAATGAACGAATTCGTTCATTTTAGGGCTGTGCAAAAATTAATTGCGATTAATCGCATCCAAAATAAAAGTCTGTGTTTACATAATATATTTGTGTGTGTTGTGTATAATTATTTTGTAGATATAAATACCTATGCATGCATGTATATATTTAAGAATTATTTGTGCTTAAATTCTGTATATATATATATATATATAAATACATAATCTATATTATATAAATATAAATATTTTATACTGTATATGAATAACACATTTTCTTAAATATATACATGCATGTGTGTGTATTTATATACACAAAATAATTATACACAGCACACACAAATATATTATGTAAACACAGACTTTTATTTTGGATGCAATTAATCGCAATTCATTTTTGCACAGCCCTAAAATGAACGAATTCGTTCGTTTCATTCGTTGAATGAACCAAATGACTCAGAAAAAAAGATTTGTTCATTTTGATGAACAAGTTCGAACAGGAGAGTCACGAACGCGCGTCACAGAACAGAGCAAGGCGAGCATTTGATCTCATAAAACTTAAACTTTGTTATTTATTTATTAAATGAGCGATCGTTTCGCTTGATAAGACCCTTATTCATCGTCTGGAATCATTTAAAGCCCTTTGAACAGTTTATAGTTTGCACTGAAACTGTCTTTTGGACCTTGAACCGTTTGGTTCCCATTGAAGTCCATTATATGGAGAAAATCCTGGAATGTTTTCATCAAAAACCTTAATTTCTTTTCGACTGAAGAAAGAAAGACATGGACATCTTGGATGACATGGGGGTGAGGAAATCATCAGCAAAAGCTTTTTTTAAAGTGAACTACTCCTTTAACAGCAGGTGTGACCAGGCCTGTGATGTGTAAATCTTCAGTCTGGTCCCTCACTACAGCTTTCAGATTCATTAATGGCTACACACGCATGCGTCTCTTCACCTCACCCATCATGCTTTACACACCGATGCAAACACATTCAGTCACACAGAGACATACGTGGAAAAGTCAATCCTCCTGAATGATTAGTTAACACTATGTGTGTTTCTGTGCAGGGATTGTCTGCAGAGCCGGAGGAGGTGAGCAGCACGCCGACCGAGGCCGAGGTCGAGGTGAATCTGGACACGTATCAGATGACCCTGGAGGAGGTGCTCACCTGGCTGCTGTCGGCCGAAGACACGCTGCACATGCAGGACGACGTGTCCGACGACGTGGAGGAGGTCAAAGACCAGTTCCACACACACGAGGTAGACGGTCAGATTGGCCTAAACTCGCACGCGCAGAACAGCTTGGGAGAGATGGAGACGTCCGGTGAATTAAAGATTAAAAGCATGGCCTGTTTCCCAGGATTATCACTGGATTATTACAGAATTGGCATTATCTCATGTTTATTTAATGATCAATAAAATCACAGTGATGGTAGATCAATATTCTATATATAAATAATGTTGATATACCATCACTGTGATTTTATTAAAAAAACATGTGATATTGAAATATTTTAAATGTTTTTTTCATCTTCCGCAGCATTCGCTTTTTCACTCTTCTCTGCGACAGAACGCTCATGTTTTTAATGAAGTCATTATTTAGTTATGCTTTATTTTTACGTTTGCACAATTTTCAACATTTTAGTGCACAGATGATTACAGTATTTCACTGGATTTTCAATAAAGTCTCACCGAAACTCAAAAGCGTTTAACTCTTGCAAGTAAATTATTATTATTGTTATGAAATACTCATTTTTTTGTAGTGCAATAGTAATATTTTAGTCTTAGAAATAAAAAAAATCAATAATTCTTATTAATAATAATATTATTATATAATCCCAACCAAAAGAGTTTCAGTTGAAGATAAAATTTTGAACGCTTTACTTAAAGCCTTTATGTATAATGCAATAAAATTGAATTTGCAATAAAGTCTCACAGAAACTCAAAAGCGTTTAACTCTTGCAAGTGAATTATTATTATTGTTATGAAATGCTCATTTTTTTTGTAGTGCAATAGTAATATTTTAGTCTTAGAAATAAAAAAATCAATAATTCTTATTAATAATAATATTATTATATAATCCCAACCAAAAGAGTTTCAGTTGAAGATAAAATTTTGAACGCTTTACTTAAAGCCTTTACGTATAATGCATCACAAAATTAATTTGAATGCATTAATTATGCCTTGTAATGCTCCTTATAATGCATTGTGTGTCTCATGCATAACTGTAACCACAGTTTTAATAGAAAATATAATGCATTAAAACACGACAATCAATTTCAGATGTAACGAGGAATCTGTGAAGGTTGCATTTTAAATTTGGTTACAATTATTTTTGAAAAGATACTGTATAATGCAAGGTATTGATAATGTACGTTAAAGAATTTAAGTAAAGTGTTACATGCATTGATTAAATGAACTCGATGTTTAAATTGAATGCTCTTAATGCGTGATCAAAAACGCTGTCGAATAGATCGATTTTTCAAGAAGTTCCAGCATGGCGACAGTGTTTCCGTCGTGAAGACTCATCCCGCGCACCCCTGCTCTTTCTCCTGCGGTGTCTTCAGATGCTCTCAGGGAACATGATCCCAACATGCCAGGAATGTGAGGAATTCTGTCAGGCAGAGAGACCTTGGACAGACACATAAACTGATAGAGAGAGAGAGAGAGCTTTACATTCCTCTCAGAAAGTGAGCGCCAACATGAGGCATTGACGAAAAAGCAAGGCAGATCCAGATCCTCTGAGCATTGGGCTTTTCCCTGCACTATAGTCCCACTTTAACCATCAAACACTGACTTTATTATTTTTTCGCTGTATTGAGAAAGTGTTGTTTCTACATATTGAACCAATCATGCCATAACTGGGGTGTTGCTAGTTTGATTTGGCTCTATTTGTCATGATGTTGCAATGGCTGTTCTCGTGGGGATTTCTGACTGATAGTGTTTGTGTGTTTGGTCTAATACTGAAGCACACGTGACGCTCCTGGTGAGACACATCAACTTCATCTCCAGAGAGTCACTTCACCAGCGTTTTATTTAAAGTCCTGTAATCAATAATTATATCCCTTGAAACTCATCTTTGATCACCAAAATAACATTTTTAAAAAATACTTTTTTTTGGAAAAAAAGGTCTAAATAAAGGCCTTGAAATAGGTTCATGTAATTCGACACCATTGCCCAATCTAGTGTTCCACGGTTTTATGAATATGCAAATGAGCTCAGAGATCCACTGGTTGACGATCACACGTTGATCTGATTGGTTACAAGGTCTTTTGTGACGTCAGAAACACCAGCGATTTCAATTATTGCACATATATCATACTTATTTTAAAGTAAAATATACTTCTCTAAGTAATAACACAGTTTATTAAAAGGTTAAGGAATGTCTCACATTTAAACCGTGTTGTGCGGCACATTATTTGACAAAGTAAAAATGAAAGTGAAATGTTATGTTGTAAAGGAAGTTATATCTATTTGATGCATTCAATTCTGAAAAAGTTTAATTCATTTGATTACAACATTTGTATAATAAATGTGTATTAAATCATAAAACACAATCACAATCATCACATAATAAACACAAAAAAGTAATTTGGGTAAAAGTAAATTCAAAGGACCCCATTTTTTTTTTTGTTCAAATTTTAATAAATGATTAATTTGTTAATACAATTATTTCTTATTTAATTAGACCAATGAAACAGAATCTACAAATATTTAGACGAAAAACACAGCAAAAACAGTTAAAAATAAAAACCTGACCCTTAAATGAATTCTATGAACACTTTAAGTCCAAGATAAGAGCACAACACAATCGGGCCCAACACAGAGCCCTGGGGCACACACCCGAGAACAGGCATTTTTAAACCGTTAAATAGAATAATTTGCCATTAATGTATTATGAACTTCCACAAATTAACACTGAACAATAGTATATCTATAAATTAATGTCAACTTATATTAATAAATGGTGTCAAATTTGTTAATTCATGATTTATTAAGCATTAACGATGTTAACAAATGTTAGACTCACTATTTCCAGCTGGGTAATGAGCTTTATTACTCCATGAACGAATGATTTATTCTCAAAGCAATAAGAAGTGCCTCAAACACGCGTGATCACGTCTCCATCTCTCCCTCATCAAAAACTGACCATCACCACGGCTGCTTATTATACGACTCAAATCAATATTCATGTTTTTAAGAATAAGAAATTAAAAAAAGTGGTACTGTGTTTTGTACATGTACCTGACCTCATCATATGTGCTGTTTAAGTCCTCTGTGAAGACTGTGACTGATGTGTGTCGTGTCCTCAGGCCTTCATGATGGAGTTGACGGCCCACCAGAGCAGCGTGGGTAACGTGCTACAGGCGGGAAACCAGCTGATCGCGCAAGGCAATCTGAGCGAGGAAGAGGAGGACGAGATCCGAGAACAGATGACACTGCTCAACTCCCGCTGGGAAAACCTGCGGGTCGCCAGCATGGACCGCCAGTCCAGGTGCGGACACACACACACACACACACACACACACACACACACGTTCCTATCGGACTCTCGTGTGTGAGGAGAGTGCTTGAATGTCTCTCTCTTCTCCATCTTCAGGCTTCACGAGGTTCTCATGGACCTTCAGCAGCAGCAGCTCCAGCAGCTCTCTGATTGGCTGACGCAGACCGAGGGGCGGATCCGGAAGATGGAGACGGAGCCAATAGCAGGAGACATGGAGGGATATCTGGCACAGATAGAGCAGCACAAAGTAAGACTCCTCTAAATGCAAGACTGGGTATTGGGAACTGAGTCAGGTTTAAGAGACAGTAGAGAGATACAGGACGCTGTGATTAGTGGTCGTTACAAATCGACCGATACTTGACTTTTTTTTTTTTTTTTTAATCGCCAATGAGTTTTGATGTGTTGGAGGCACTTTTATTTTGACTGTATGCGTGACTCTTATTTTGAAAGCACAGCGAGCGCCATCATCCCTGCTCTTATAGACCTTACGCACCAGAGAAACGTGGGCGCCGTCATCTTTAGAATATTCCGCTTCTGTATATTTCTATGGCATCGCTGTCGAGGAGTAATTAGCTGGTGAAGTGGATTTACTTATTGTAGAGTTAACAAAAGTTATCATGAGCATTGTAAAGCAGATGTCTTAACAAATGTCGACCGGGAATTTTTTTACGAGCAGTTCATTCATACCTATGCAAGATCGCTGTGGAAATACAGAGCGGAAGTCAAAAAGGGTGAAAAGGGGCGGGGCTACATAAGGTCTATCTATAGAGTGCCGAAGTGATGACGTCACTTTGTAGGACAAAACGCGTAAGTGAGTTAGCATTTTAGCACTCCCGGTTCCCTCGCTCTAAAGTCTATGGGATTTTTGAATGGGTTTTTGCTAAATTACCTGAAATAAGGTCTGTGGTGAACAAAGCCTCTAAATATTTTCACGTTTTGATCTCTGAAAACACCAGTTATAACCTGCTTTTGGGTTTTAAACTTTATATAGGCTTCAAAATGTATAGATTTTGGATTAACTTGATAGATTAAAGATTAACTTGTAAAGATTATCTTGACAGACAAAACGTGTAAGGGTCACAACTCTTTGTTAAACACAGATCTTAGTTTTTGCGATTTTTCAAAAGTCTATGGGGAAAATACTTAGCTTTTCGATCGAACGAATCGATCAAACCCATGCGCCGCTAGCGTCCGAGTTGTCCTACAAAGTGACGTCATCACTTCGGCACTCTATACTCCATCTTCATTAGTTTACTGTCAATGTTTAAAAGTTCGGTGTAATAAATTAGACGGAGCTTTTAAACAAAGAAAGTAAACAGCATAATGCATTAGCTTGTCTTTTATTAGTACTAGAAAGGTAAATGCTATAAAACTTTCTCATGTACCGTCAGCATTTAGCAAATATAATTTATATATATTTTCAAACGATTTATTTCTTAAGTGAATATTATTTAAATAATATATAAATGTCAAAAATGTTATATATGAAGAGTTCAGATGCAAAAGCCTCTAAATGCCATTTGAAATTTTCTTCTTTAATGATGATTTTTATCAAGCTTGTATATTTAAGTTCAGTAATTTCACTTAAATAACAATTAATAGGTAATTATTATTGCCATTTAAGTGAAATCACTGAACTTAAATATACAAGCTTGATAAAAATGATCATTCTAGAAGAAAATTTCAAATGGCGCTTAGAGGCTTTTGCATCTGAACTCTTCATATATATATATGTGTGTGTATATGTGTATGTGTATATATATATATATATATATGTATATTATATATGTGTATATGTGTCATTTTTATATAAATTATTTAAAATGTCGACAGTCGACATGTCATGAACATTGACTTTAACATACAGTTTTTCTGCTTTCACTTTATATTAAGTGTCTTTAACTACTGCCATTGAAATAAAAAACTTAACTTTGACTGCACGTCATCAGAGCTGTTGAAGCCGAAGATTCACACTAAAGTCCATTCAGTATTCTTCTGTTTTAAAACCACACATAAGATGAAGTAAACAGATGGTTGAAGCCCAAACACACTCTCTTTATCTGTTCAATCTTTTTAATTCATTGGAATAAATATCATGGAAATTAAACGAACGTAGGACAAGTCTAATCCAATGCTTGCATTTTTTTTTTTTATGATTTCTGGCTGATTTTGGCAACAGAGCGAACAAAACTCCATTAAACAGCCACTCTGGACACCTACTACCAAATTACATGCAACACAACACCCGTTGACCATTGTTAAAGGAATTTCCCAAAGAAATAAGAGGTTTTGTACGTGTCCAACAGTTCAGTGAGCTTTAAAGCTTGCAGCTATTTGGGCTGTTCGTCATTTATGGTAAAGTCAACTGATGATTGTGAGAAATAGGGAAAATAGATTGAAGAAAAAGATTACTACGAAACATTTTATAAGTGGATATTAACGCTCATAAACTCTCCTGACATAGCGACCTCTGAGCAATAAAACTGTCCTCAGGAGTCCTGTGTAGTAAATGAGTGACTCGCATCCCGTGTGTGTGCATAACCTGTTTGCAAATAAAGCGTTCTCCAGTGTGAATTTACCATGACTGCTGAAAGGAGAAAGAGATTGGGTTGTGAGAAGAATGAATAAGCAAATCAGCACATGCCCCAGTGAACGAGGGGCAAACACGACCTCGGCATGTTTGTTCAGCTAGCGAGTGAAGAGCACACACACGTTCGCTCCCACACACATGCTTATATTTAGGAGTCTCACGGTCTCATAGGAAGGGGACCACATCACCCGAGCGCTTCCACGCTATATATGGAGGCTCGCACAGGAACACTTTCATTCTTGGTACAGAACCTTAAAAATTAATGTTTTATTAACATGCCTGCGTCATATTCAACCTAAAATGAACACACAGTAGACGCGTTTCCATTAGAGATTTGCGCAAAACTTTTGCGATATTTTCCAAATGTCGATAAAAAACTATTGCGAAATGACGGTTTCCATTAACCGATGTTATGCGACTAAAACGTCTTTTTTTCCTCTCGCGATAAGTCATTCCAAAAATCATTGCACTCGACATTATTATTATTATTAATGGACGGAGACTTGGTGTTATCCAAGCATTAATGACAGGGAAAGACACAGAGTTCCTGGTGTTTCTCCCTTATTTCTGCTTCGATGTCTTGATGGCATTTCTTTGAGGTTTAGAGAGGCTATTCCTGTGATTATTGTTTCTTTGATTTAATAAAGAACTCTGTCTCGTATTATGTCCAAACGGTCGTTGCAAAACAAAAAATGAACGGTTGTTGTATTTTTAAAACGCAAAGTTGAACACCAACGTTTTAGTTTGACCACACCAATGCTGCGCTATATACATCTCAACGAATTTTCAGATATTTGTTTATGACTTTTTGCCCCCTTTAAAACATTTAAAATATTCACAAATTAATATGGGAAAAAATGTCGATTTTACTGGTTTTCTAAGGCCAATTTAGAACATGGATATTTATGATATTTTTCCCACAGTGCTGAATAGGTGAGTTATTATAAATGCGTCTGAAAAAATAACGAGCTAAAAACATAATCTCCGGATGCCCCTTTAGAGAGAACGGCACCTTTCATACGGATTACATAATCAGAAGGTATTAGTTTACGATTCGAATTTGTTCTTTTTAAAGTGGATATTTCAAGCTTTAGTCTATAAAGGCTATTGGTTCAGTTCTCGCGCTCCAGTTCACGAAGATCATAAAGCGCGCCTGATTGTTTTATTTTACAAAAGCACAACGTTTTCTTGTTATTGTGACATTACGCAAATAAAAGTAGTTGCGAATAATGTATTATTATTTTCTGTATAACCAGAAATTTGTATTTTAAGTTGATTCCACTGTTGACGGGAAAATGAAAGTGTTCACGGCGCGCCCGCGTCTGTCTGCCGACCAGTGCTCCAAACTCTGCACACACTCTTGGATATTGGACAAAATCGAGTGTTTATTTGTGATAATCTTAGCCCTATTATTATTATTGTCCAACCTGTACTATGAATGAGATGTGACGAATTGCTTTGTTCCTTTTTTGGATAAAAGCGTCTTCTACATATGTAGCCTAATAAATGTTATAATCGGCTAATGATGATAATTATTATTATTTGCGGACACGGACCTAAAACACACTCCGTCTTCTTCTAAGTCAGGTGACTGTAAATGCGCAAAATCCGTTTCCATTGCAGTTTTGCGAAAAAATCCTTTTTCGAATTGCCTGAAAAACCTCCTCATGCGAGCGTAAAAACTTTTTTGCGATAAACGGGAGTTTTTGCGAAATTGACGTGTTTCCATTGAGCGTATATTTCAATATGTGCAAATTGAAGGGTAATGGAAACACAACTACACACACATAGGGGTTGAAGTGGATTGGGACACATTTTTCCAGTAATCAACCTGAATTCGCTCCTATATATTCCCCTTTTTTCAATGTTTTAAAAAAGTTTATATATTGTTATTTAAATGCATGCATAGAAATGAATAAAAAAGAATATTAACATATGTATGTATTTCTCCTTTTTTTTGAGAGTAAATGAAGAAAATCGATAAAACAGGTGTTCTTTAGACCCTAACCTTTGACCTGTGTTCACTGCACTACATCTTCAGGTGCTGCAGAATGATCTGGAGGTGGAGCAGGTGAAGGTGAACTCTCTCACGCACATGGTTGTAGTTGTGGACGAGAACAGTGGGGAGAGCGCCACCGCTGCCCTGGAGGACCAACTGCAGGTAGTGGAGAAAATGCTGCATTTTCTTGTTCTGTCAGAATTACTGTAAGATGGCGGTTTGGAGACAATAGAAATCATTACAACTTTTGAACTGTCATTTGGTGTTTCTTCAGCTCTAATTTTCATGTACAGTAGTGAAACAAACACATATCCATATATAGTGAGACAGAATGCAAACCCTGGTCCACACTGCTCATTAGAAAGCTGTTTCTGATCATATTTATATTTAGAGAGTAGAGATTAAGATGCAAGCTGTGTTTATATCTCTCAGTGAATGCAGAAAAGAATGAATCTTATAGTACATTTCTTTCTACTAAACTGCAAAAGTGATCAAACCAAGTTGTTTCAAGCTTCTTCCATTCTTCGAAGGAGTGAGATCTATTAATGTTGGACGCAGCAAGAAAAGACATTTGACACTCCCTAAGGCCATATAAGTGTGTGAAAAGTCCTTCAGTGAATAACTTTCTCTCTCTCTTCTTTCCTTCTGCTGTTCACAGTCACTGGGGGAGCGCTGGGCGGCAGTGTGTCGCTGGACGGAGGAACGCTGGACCAAACTGGAGGAAATGCAGCTGGTGTGGCAGCGACTGCTTGACGACCAGGTGAGGCCTGAGAACAAACATCCAATTGATTGGATATTGAGGTGTCCAATCCATAATGAGGCCGATATTGATCATTGATAATTAGTGGAGTTTGCAAATTGAAATTTTTTTTTAATTTAAATATGTTTTCGTGATCAGTAATTGTGTAGCCCTCAAACCGTTTTCACTTTATAGCCCTTAATCCTGTAATTGTGGACAAATGTGGGCACAGAGGACTTTTATTTATTAGAAATGTTATATCACTGTCTTCGATAAAGTTTTGTCTATCCATTTATGATGTTTATTTTTTATTTTGGGGGTATTTTTGAATTTATTTACTTCAAAAAGTACCATATTTTTTCTATGTAAATTATGCTTATTTTTATGTTTTATTTTTTGAAATTTTTTTAACTACATTAAAATATCATTCCAATAAGTTCTTAGAGCTAAAACCTAAAGATGATGTCTTACTGATGTCTTATTTTGGCTTATTTTAGAATGCTCTAAATTACAGTTTTTCCCCATTCATTTCTATGGGTGCCCATTTTTGACCCAAATACAAGATTAAGGAGTTTTTTTTTTTGGTTCACCCACTTAACATTGAGTCAAAAAAAAAAAAAATGTGTGTGTTCAGGAGGCAAACTTAGGAAAAGTAGCCAAATCTTGTACCTCTCAGATCAAGGGGAGTATTTTTTAAAACAAATCAAAACTATTTACCCACATTTGTCCAGAATACGGTTTTAGGGTTAATAATCAATAAACATTTGTGTACATATATTTGAATTTGCCCATCCATACATTAATTTCAATCCAGCACAAGCCTGACGTCACGACTGCTGCCGGCTGAGAGATTATCGGGTGTGTGCCCCAGGGCTCTGTGTTGGGCCCTATTGCGTTGTGCTCTTATCTTGGACTTAAAGTGTTCATTGAATGCATTTAAGGGTCAGGTTGCTATTTTTAACAGTTCAGACTGCATTCAGGGAAAGACTGAGATTGAATTATGGCTGTTTATGACCTGCAGATACCATTACCCTTGACCCAGTACATCATTAGTGTACAGTACACACACAATCTTCACCCGTCTAGACCACTTCCATCAGTTTGCAGTCACAGCACACTGAACCGTGACGCAAATCAGAAGATTTGCTCTATGATATTACTGTAAATTAGTGTTGTTTCACGCTTGCATGCTAAAATACTGTGTAGGGATATAGGTGGTATGATTGTTTTCTATTTTATTTGGATTATCATATGCAATGATTATTATATCTATCTTTTTTGTCCATCAGAGTTTGTTCGGATCATGGCTGTCAGAAAAGGAGAAGGCCTTGATTGAAGTTCAGACTTGTGATTTTAAAAACCCCAGTGAAATAAATGGCAGCGTCCGCAGATTAGCCGTGAGTAGACAAACATGCTTGACTTTGTATTAACATTACTCAGCCGGTCGATAAGAGCATCACTGTTTTGACCTCTGATCCCAGAGTCTTAAGGAGGACATGGCCCAGAAGCGGAGGACCCTGAGTGCTCTGTCAGATGCTGGACAGGACGTGATGTTGCTGTTAGACAGTCCAGCCGCAGCTCGGAGGATCGAGACAGACACAGACCAATTGACCCAACGCTGGGACAACCTGGTCCAAAAACTGGAGGACTGCTCCAGCCAGGTCAGATACACACCTCTCTTGTGTGCACTGTTGCACTTGAGCTTTTGATTCCAAGTGTCTGTTCTGTTTCCAGGTGAGCGAAGCGGTGTCTGTGTCCGGGATGTCCCAGGTACAGGAGAGGTTTGTCATGGAGACAGTCACAACTGTAACGACACGGATGGAGCAGACCTTCACGGGCAGCGACCGAGAGCTTCCTCCACCCGCCCCACCCAAACGACGGCATCTCGATACAGACGGCGAGCTCAGGAGACTGTACGACAAACACAAACATACCTGACAAAACTGTCTTTTTCAGTCAGACTCAGTCATTTTAGGCCACGATAATAATAAAAAAAACAGGATTTATCCTGCAATGGGCTACACACTAGAGGTCTTCTCGGGTCCTAAAAACTGGACCCGACCCGAATCGACCCGAATCACTACTTACCCCAACCCGACGTGCATAAATTATTTTTAAAAAAAAGAAAAACCCCGACCCGAGACAGACCCGATAAAATTAGACCCGAGTCCGACCCGACGCCATTTCCTTTAGAACCCGACTGGACCCGAACGTAAACGGCATTTACAGTGTGCACAGCCTGCGTTTCTCAAAAATGCGCTCAACAAGTGCACGCTGAGTGCTAAAATGTCAATCACACATCACTGTAAGTTAACCCTTTAAGTCCTATAACATTTGGCATAATGTTATTTACCGGACCACGATGATTAGAACCACCTCAGGGTACAATTTACCGATGGCTGTTTTTAAAATAGCCTACAGATTTTCCAGTCATTGACTTTTACTAAAATCGTGTTATTTAGCCTACAAACCCGTCGTTGCAAAGTTGTTTAGATAAAATGCGATTAAAACAGGGCATTAGAACCACAATAGCAGTCAAATTGGACGTTCTGAATCAAATCTTAATATGGTAACGTTATTGCATCAACGCATTTAACTGCACGTCTTTTTTCCTTCCTTATCAACAACTATCACAAATCATTGTTGATAAGGATGACCCTGGTTGTTTCTGTTCTACATATTCGTTTACCCTCACCTTTTTCGCAATATCTGTTTTATCGTCGCTTGTCTGACAGTGTCGCGCATTTTTAAAATTGTTTGACAAGCCTGGCTAAACGACAATTCAAATACTTGCATGTAGTCAAACATCCAACCACATGATGGCGCACTAGTTCTTCTTTGCAAACGGAGGGGTTGGTTAGCGAAGCGAGCAACTGAGTAAATAAATGCGGAGGCAACCGTGCTTACGGTTATATCCCATTGCACGTAAAAGCGCGGATTTGCTCGCTCACTAAAAAAAAAGTCCGAACGGTCATGGAGTTGTTTTAAATGCTGCAATTTTGTTAAATGCCCAACATTGTTCAAAATAATTTGGGTCTTCTCAGGTCCATTTGGAAAAGGCATATTTATTTTAAGTTACCCGAGACCCGAGGCCACTAAAGGCCAATTTATACTTCTGCGTCGAGGGTACGCCGTAATGTACGGCGTTGGCTTCGCACGTAGGCGACGCCGTCGTGAGCATTTATACTTCTGCGTTCAGGTATTGGTTGCTCTGCAGTTCTGCTCCGAAACACTAGTTGGCGGCGGAGGGTTTTAATGTTCCACTGTGTTTAGATTCCTCGCGGCTAGGTTACTACAAGCAATAGCGACTGAAAGAGAGTGGATCATGTTGGAGTTGGAGCTTATTGGGGTGGAAAAACAGTTCATTTTAGTGAAATTACTAAAACTGAAAGGCCGAAATGAGAGAAGACGTCGGAGGAGATGGTACGTGCGGAAATGCGTAGGAGGAAATGCGATGCTACCAAGCCGACCAATCACCGATCTTGCGGTCCGCGTCGTCGCGACGTGTAGTTACAGTTTTGAAGAGGTGCGCGTCAGGCTACGGCGAAGGGTACGCGGTATGGGACGCGTCTGTGCGTATGCTACGCCATACCTACTGCGCGCACCCTACGCAGAAGTATAAATTGGCCTTAATACCGAACCCGACCCGTGTCCGAGACACTCGTCGGAGTTTTGGACCCGAACCCGCTCGGGTCTCGGGTCGGACCTCGGGTTTTCGGATCCAAGTGGACCCGTGAAGACCTCTACTACACACGCACACAAAACATTTGGACCTGCTTGAGACAGGCTATCTGATGATGTCTTTCTAGCCAGTGTTTTTTGGACAATTAAACCGTCACATCTCAAGCGTAACAGATTAGCAGCTGTTCAAGCAAAACAGATCATACAGGGGTTGGACAAAAAAACCTGAAACACCTGGTTTTACTACACAATAATTTGTTAGAATGGCGAGGGCCTCATTTTGCATCCAAATACAGCACCAATTGACAGATAGAAGTCCTTCACAGTGACCAGAGGGATCATGAGCCGTTCCTCTTCCAGAACAGTGTCCAGGTCACTATATGATGCTGGTGGACTCGCTCCTCCAAAACACCTCAATAATATTCAGATCTGGTGACTGTCAGACCATGGGAGATGTTCAACGTCACTTTCATCTTCATCAAACCCTTCTGTCACAAGTCTTGCTGTGTGTGTTGGTGCATGATCATGCGGTTTGAGCATCAGGTGCTCATGATCCTCCAGAAGGGTTTGGTAGTCCTCGGCAGTGTCGTGTCCATCAAATACAATCAGGATTGTCATGATATTGGAGCTCAAACCATCACTGATCCACCCGTGCTTCACTCTGAAGATTGGCCGCCAGGCATATAGATGTGAAACCTCCAACATTGGCCAGTGTTTCAGTTTCATTGTCCAACCCCTGTAGATTTCTTTCATTTTTCGGTTTTGCCTATGTTCATAATCAGCACATTTGTGAACGTTAGTGTTTGCACACTTTCCTTCTCTGTTGTTCTGCTCAGCTGTAGCACTCCCTCATGTGAACTCTGATGTGATGTGTTTGTGTTTTTTAGAGCTGAAACCGATGTTCCCAAGCTTTTGTCTCAGCTGGCTGCATGGAAATCATCCGCCGGAGCTGCTGGAGACTCGCCTGTCCTGAAGGAAAAACTACAGGTGACGTATTGTGTTGACCCACACTTTCATTTCCTTGATCATACATTTGGCCTACTGAATGTTTTTGTCCCGTCTCTGTAGGTCCTGGGGGTGGAGCTTGCTGAAAATGAGGCTCTGGTGAAAGAGATGGTGGAGAATGGAGAGAAGATGATTGGACAGTTGGAGAAAGGTTGGGAATTATTATGGGTTTAGTAAGATAAATGATGTTTTTTGTGTTCTCCTACTGATTCAATCACTCCATCTGTCTTTATAGAGGGCCTGTCTGCAGAGGTGGCCCGTTCTGGCCTGGAGTCTGTGTGTAGGGAATGGGAGAGCTGCCAGAACCTGATCCAGGAGCTGAGGAACCGAGCTCACGTTCTAGAGCGGGTGTCGTCGGTTCTATCAGGACTGAAGGCTGCCGACGGAGTCCTGCAGGAACAGGATAAATGGTTGATCTCCTCGAAAGACTTTAGAGCAAAAGACAACCAGCAGGAACTCCAGACACTCAGAGACGACTGTGAGGTCCGTCACGTTCCAGGACACTTTATGCAAGACACTGTTCTCAGATCAGATGTTAACAGAAATTTAACTGTACACTCTTATGCTGCGTTCACACCGGACACGAATAGCGCGTCAAATTCGTCTAGTTTGATGCTTGACCACTTTGTGTTAATTCGCGTGTCAAGAGTGAAACTGACGCGCGTAAAAATAAAATTTTGAAGCGAAATTTACGCGTGTCAGAATCGAAATCCGTTGGCTGCCATTGTTTTTATGTCGACCAAGCATTCATCAAGAGAGTCACCGCTCTGTATTTACTCTGGAGAGCAGAACAGTGGCGTGGGGATCATCGTCGCCGTATATCTGTGTCCACCGGACCCTTCAGAGCCGAACCGTTTGGCGAGTTTCACCATTTGCTCGGTCCAGGAGCTGCGCTGGATGACGGCCGCTGTCAGCGGTACTTCCCCGCGCCCAGTTTGATGACCTGTTGTCCCGCATCGGAGCGAGGATCACCCTCGCCCTCATCCATCTAATCTAGCTGTCATTTATTTTTGTTTTGATGATAAATAGAGCCAGCCTCCAAAAGTTATTCACCTGTCCAGACACGTCCAGACACGAACTTGGTGTTGGTTGTCTTCACATCATAATACTATTTCATATAATCTAGATATGGAATAAATAACATTCAATACAAAATGAACATGTCTCAAATAGACATGAAATAGTATAGACATCGTATGGTATTGAAATAAAGTTTTAAGTGATAAAACATTTGCTTTGTTGTGCGTAATCCCACCATGCATTTAGTCATATTACAAAATAATTTATTGAAGCATCCAGACACTTCACCACGTGAGCAAGCAGCTGGGCTCCTGATTGGTTAACAGTGCGCGTAAGTTCAGATTTTTCAACTCGGGCGGCAGATGCGAATTCACGTCAAAAGCGTGAATGCACAAATAGCACTAACTAAATCATTTGCGCTTAACACGCCAGAGGCTCAATTCGTGCCATTCGCGCGAACTTGACGTGCGAATGAGGCGTATTCGCGTCTTCCGCCCTCATTCGCGCCGCAGGAATTTTTTACGCACGTAACGCGTCTTTGCATTGACTTCACATTGAAATCATTCGTGCCTTACACGCTATTCGCTTCCGGTGTGAACGCACCATTAGGGCCTGTTTAGACAACAACGTTTTCAACGTTTTGGCCGTTCGTTTATACGACAGTTGCTTTTAGGTGCCGAAAAATTTCAATTTTTAACAACGGGTTTCAAAGTGCAAGTTTTTGAAAACGGTCTCAACAAACAAAAACGCAAATGACATCATACACATATGGGTAACGTGTTCAGTCTATAGTGTTTTATCGCCATCTAATGGCCTGGAGCAGAATACAGCGTTTTTACTCATTTCTGCGGATCGGTGTGAATGGGGATCGTTTTGACAATGGTGTCGTCTGCACGTGGAAAGTCCAAAGAAAAAACGTCTCCGTTTTAAGCATATCGTTGTCTTACCCTGAAAAAAAATCAAGGATTTGGAGCAATGCAATACAATGATTTAGGGTTCCTCAAATATCCTTTCAGTGAACGGTTCTTTAAAGAACCACTTTGTCTTCATTTGAAGAACATTTATGAATCTAAATAACGTTTTCCCACTATCCACTCTTAAAGGGATACTCCACTTTTTTTTGGAAATGGGCTCATTTTACCACTCCCCCAGAGTTAAACAGTTGAGTTTTTCCGTTTTCAAACCCATTCAGTCGATTTTCTGATATTTAGAAGAATATCAGTAACCAGACAGTTTCTGGTCTCCATAGTAGGAAAAAAATATACTATGGAAGTCAATGAGACCAGAAACTGTCTGGTTACTGATATTCTTCTAAATATCAAAATATCGGCTGAATACATTAGAAAACAGTAAAACCCAACTGTTTAACTCTGGGGGAGTGGTAAAATGAGCCTATTTCCAAATAAAGTGGAGTATCCCTTTAAAAATGAATGTTCTTATTGGCATTGATGGTTCTTTAACATCCATGGAACCTTTCCACTGCAAAACAAAGTCTTCATAGATTATTAAAATGCACTGCTGCACACTAAACAATAGTTAACTGATCACTGAAAGGTTCTTTAGGGAACCCAAACTGGTTCCTGTATGGCATCACAGCAAAAACTCCCTTTTAAAACCTTTATTTGTAAGAGTGTAAAGAATGTTTTGTTGAATGGAAGGATGCCATGAATGTCAAAGGCTCTTCATGGAAACACTGACGCCAGTGAAAGAGCTTTACTGTTAAGAGTGCCTTGTGTGATTTTGTGCTGTATCTGTGTTTCAGGCTCGAGTAGCAGAGCTGGAAAAGCTTCAGCCGCAGGTGGAAGATCTCTGTGATCATACGGAGCGTCTGGCCGCAGAACCCGGTGTTCCTGATACCATGAGGCCCAGTGTGACGGCGCTGGCGTCCCGCCACAGCTCGACCGTTCAAGAGCTCAAGACACGGCAGCAGGACATCACCACAGGTACACATCAGATCACAGCCCTTATAAAACACTCGCAACATTTACACAATGCCACTCCAGTCTGCAAGTTGAGGGAGTTTGGGATTGTGAAAATTGGTAGTTTAGCTTTTCATTCTAAGGTACAAATCAAAGAGAAATTAAATCACTTCTGGAGAAAGAACAGAATATTCCTACAGGATTGCATTTAAAGGGATAGTTTTCTTAAAATGAAAATCGTGTCTTCAGTTACTCATCCTCAACGTCACCTCTTACTTCCCACAACTCTTTCAGTTTTTATCTAAAAACATTTTCCCAGAGCGTTAGAGTTAGATTAAGAGCCCAATTATAAACATGACGATGATGTAAAAGCGACTCAGTTTACATGGACATTTAATCACCTCGACGGTCTCTGTAGTCGGATTAGCCACTTGTTAGCAACAACCCTTTTCCAAGACACGTAACAGCTTAAAACCATGAGTGGGGTAATACTGATATCAGCCAATCAACCAAAACCCAATTAAAAAAACCCACTGACTTCTGGACGATGGAACCGGAAGAGCTAAAATGCTAACTCGCTTCCACGTTTGACCTACAGAGTGATTGATTTCAATAGAGCTGTTAGCATGTTGCTAAGCTAAATGCTAATTTGCTAAGTGACCTGTTTGCATCACTTCACTGCCCTTAACAACTCCTCTCCCGTGGCCTCATGGGATAGTAAAGTGTCATTAGATGCACTTCAAGCTCCCGCCGGTAGTAGTCGGTCATCGGCTGCTTTGTGCCTAGGGACTTTGTACTTTCGGACAAACTACTCGTCACATACTGTTTTTCGCATACTATACAGTACAGATGTAGGTAAATTCAGATGTAGCCCGACACCTTTTTTTAATTTTTTTTATAAAGTTTACTTAGCATGGACATTAAATTATTTTTTTTTTGTGAGTGATTTGAGCTTAAAATGTATTAAATAGTTTTTTCAAAATATTTTCCCATTCAAGTGCTTAAAATCATCAAACCTTCCCCGTCATGAATCTCGGGTTTATTGTTTGTGGTTGCTAAATAAATGCACTTATGATAATTTTTTTTTTTTTAAAGTTAATATAATTTGGGGATTTTGTTTCATTTTCGCGCAAAAATATTTTTTTTGAAACAATTTTAGATCATTGTACAGCCCTAAACTAGCAATGACAACCAAGCAATGTTCTGTAAGTCACTTTGTATGAAAAATCTTTCTTACCTAGTGTAACTGTGACCTTAAAATACGTTCCTTGGGTTTTAGAGCAGATCTACAGAGAGATTACAAGTCCTGGGATTTGATTTGGTCCCAAGATGGACATGTCTCTGTTTCTCTTGGTCCCATCAGTTTTGTTGAAAGACAGAAATGGTGACTTACGCAACAGGTAAATCATTTGTGGAGCCAACAAGAGCCGAGGCGGAGTGAGAGAGAGCAGTCTATTTATGGCTTGAAAGTCAGTTTGGCCCCTGAGAAAGCTTTTATACACTGATAAACCTGTGTGATTGAAACTGCTCCAAGCAAAAGCACATCAGTGTTTAACCTTAAAGCTCCAGCAAATCTCTCTTACATCCGCATGTATCTAGCCATGGAAACGAGGACATGACACAGACTTCTGTTGCTACTCATACCGACTATATTAAACCAGAACGAAAACGACAACATGTTGCTTGACTTAAAAATAGTGTTTCCTAACTCTGCACATTCCCACGTCAGTGTCAGAAGTTCAGGGGAGCATGCTAAATAAACACACACTCATGTCTACTGCTGATGTATTTATATGAAGGTTATTATAATGACTAAAGACTAGAACAAATCCCTGATCCATAAACAAAAAGTCATTTTTACCTTCAATGATGTCCTCAGAATGAGTGTTTGCCTCATCCCATCTGGGCCATTTTTCAGCTATTTTTGCCCCTGGAGTAAAGTTGCATGAAAACACAAACACACACAGTTTAATGTTCGTGGGACAACCGGAAAACTAATGTTCCATTATTTGACCTCTAACATCTGGGAACCAAGCTAACCACACACACACACACACATGCAAGTCTCACACACACAATGAGAAACACAAATGCAGTTATTTTGGTGTCCTCGCTGATATTGCACATCTCAGAAGGGGCCTTTCACACACATTATTAATTCCAGAAGAGGAAGCGTTCGATGTACAGTGTATGCTGTGAGGACGCTGATGTTCGTGGCTAGAGGACATCACATGACAAGCAGTCTTTCATGCTGCACTCTAGTAGCTGCATAGCAATACTCATTAAGATCATTGCGAAAAAATATCAATATTAAATATTTTCATTTACGTGAATGTATGTCTGAATGCTGTGTGTGTATAATGTGTTTGTGTGTTCCTCTCTGTAGTGTTGTCGGAGCTGCTGGAGTCCAGAGCGCTGGAGCAGATCCAGACCAGACTGAACACAATCAGCACTGACATCACAGACATAACCTCTGCTGAACGGGCACTCCTTAAAGCTCAGGTGCGTGTGTGTGAGTGAGTGAGTGAGTGTTTGTGTGTGAGTGAGTGAGTTAATGAGTGAGTGAGTGAGTGAGTGAGTGAGTGTGTGAGTGTTTGTGAGTGAGTGTTTGTGAGTGAGTGAGATAATGAGTGTTTGTGAGTCTGAGTGAGTGTTTGTGACTGAGTGAGTGCTTGTGAGTGAGTGAGTTAATGAGTGAGTGAGTTAGTTAGTTAATGAGTGTTTGTGAGTGAGTGAGTGTTCGTGAGTGAGTTAATGAGTGAGTGAGTTAATGAGTGTTTGTGAGTGAGTGAGTGTTTGTGAGTGAGTTAATGAGTGAGTGAGTTAATGAGTGTTTGTGAGTCTGAGGGAGTGTTTGTGAGTGTGAGTTAATGAGTGTTTGTGAGTGAGTTAATGAGTGAGTGAGTTAATGAGTGAGTGAGTGAGTTAATGAGTGTTTGTGAGTCTGAGTGAGTGTTTGTGAGTGAGTGAGTGAGTGAGTTAATGAGTGAGTGAGTGAGTGAGTGTGTGAGTGTTTGTGAGTGAGTGTTTGTGAGTGAGTGAGATAATGAGTGTTTGTGAGTGAGTGAGATAATGAGTGTTTGTGAGTCTGAGTGAGTGCTTGTGAGTGAGTGAGTTAATGAGTAAGTGAGTTAGTTAGTTAATGAGTGTTTGTGAGTGAGTGAGATAATGAGTGTTTGTGAGTCTGAGTGAGTGCTTGTGAGTGAGTGAGTTAATGAGTAAGTGAGTTAGTTAGTTAATGAGTGTTTGTGAGTGAGTGAGATAATGAGTGTTTGTGAGTCTGAGTGAGTTAATGAGTGACTGAGTGAGTGTGTGAGTGTTTGTGAGTGAGTGTTTGTGAGTGAGTGAGATAATGAGTGTTTGTGAGTCTGAGTGAGTGTTTGTGACTGAGTGAGTGCTTGTGAGTGAGTGAGTTAATGAGTGAGTGAGTTAGTTAGTTAATGAGTGTTTGTGAGTGAGTGAGTGTTTGTGAGTGAGTGAGTTAATGAGCTTGTGAGTGAGTGTTTGTGAGTATGAGTGAGTGTTTGTGGGAGTGTGAGTGAGTGTTTGTGAGTGAGTGAGTGAGTGTTTGTGAGTGTGTGAATAAGTGTTTGTGAGTGTTTGTGGGTGTGTGAGTAAGTGTTTGTGACTGTGAGTGAGTGTTTGTAAGTGTTTTTGAGTGAGTGAGTGAGTGTTTGTGAGTGCGAGTGAGTGTTTGTGAGTGCGAGTGAGTGTTTGTGAGTGTTTTTGAGTGAGTGAGTGTTTGTGAGCGAGTGAGTGCTTGTTTTTTGAGTGTGTGTGTGTGTGTGTGAGAGAGTGACTCAGTGAGTGAGTGTGTGTGCGAGTGACTCAGTGAGTGAGTGTGTGTGTGTGAGAGAGTGACTCAGTGAGTGAGTGTGTGTGCGAGTGACTCAGTGAGTGAGTGTGTGTGTGTGTTTGAGATACTTGTTAGAGATTTTTCACTCTTCACTTCTTATTGTGTCCCTCTATTCTCCACGGAGGTAAAAGCTGTTAAAGAAACTTGCTTTAGATATGTTTGTCTCTTACACTAAGTTAATGGTAGTTATGGCCAAATAACCATAATGAATGTATAACTATAACTAAAGTTTTAATAATCACTCTAATATATGAGAATACTGAGGCTCACACCACAACTATAACAACACCAACACAGAGGAACAACGTCACTGGAGTCACTTTCAGGATGATTTTGTTTCCAGCTGATGAACAATAAAAACACTCACAGCCAATCAGAGTCCTCTTGATTTTAAAAAGCACAAGCATTTAAAGCGGCAGACGACAAAACTTCAGCACGTTTATATTAAACAATGTTATCATAGGTTTGCTTGGACAGAAGAGCAATATTTCAGTGATCGTAATATGATGTCACGTTCTGCAGCATCTTCATTAAAACCCTAATCCCACAGAATAAATCGTAAAAGTATGCAATCTAGGCCACTAATTCAGCTAGAAACAGCGATCTTCTGTTGGTCACGTGACTTCACAGGTCAGAGTTCACCAAACGTGAACTCCAGAACACGAGGAAGTTCCCACAATCCCGTATGTTCTGTCTTTAGCACTCGCATGCAAATGAATGCGAGCACTGGAACCCAGAGCATAGTGTGTGTGTTGGTCCAGCGCTGTGCCGTGTGTGTGTTGGTTCTGTTTGCATCTCCACTTGACCCGTGTGTGTACAGTCTCTCAGCTGACGCTTGCTTTTGATTACTGGCCGTGTGTCTCTCTGTAAGTGCATGATGGGGGAACGAAAGCCGACGACTAAGATGGCAAAGCCAAACAAAGAGAGCAAACGCAGGCTGGCACTGATTTAAAGTGGTGTAAATATTGATACGCTCCTTTGGCAGTCTCCGGCACACTTGGCAGAGCCCGTCCACAGCACTGCCGAAACCTGCCCTGGACTCCAGCTGTGCATTATGGGCTGACTATGGACTGGGAGAACCAGCATCTCCTATTTGAGACTATGGGAGTGATCTTTCACTTTTAGAAAGAGGGTTTTTGACTGAAGCTTGAGTTGTGTCTCCACCTGCAGGTGTGAAGGAGTTATTGCGCTCTGACACACTGCCAACGTCCTGATCTTCACACACAGTTCCATAAGGGTCTATAGGGGTTCCTCTCTGTAATGCTATTATAACTTTATAACTATTTAAGAGTACTCTTAATTCAGAATTTTAAAATGTATATACACCATATAAGAGGTATACTGAGGTCTGATTTTATTGTATTTTATTTGTAATAAGTAAGTAAGTAAGTAAAAGTTTATTTATATAGCACCTTTCACAGGTATAGGGCCACAAAGTGCTTCACAAAAAAAACAACAACTTTGTTTTAGTGTTACATCTTACATGTATTTACTTTAGTAATTACTATAAATTGTGCATAATTACATGCAACTAAGCCTAAACCAAACCCTAATCCTATAGTATATATATATATATATATATATATATATATATATGTGTGTGTGTGTGTGTGTGTGTATAATTACACTGTAAGATGGACACCTTAAAATAAAGTGTAACTTTTTTTTCATTTCATTTAATTTCTCTCCAGACAAACATACATCATTTGATGCATTTTGCTTACATGCGCTTTTAACTGTTACTAATCCCATTTATTGTGATGATAAATACTTTTAAATGATTCAATTAATGCACAGACGCTCATAAATAATTTTAGTCATATTTAAAAATAAAATTAAAAAATTTTAGTCAGCAGTACATTAGTTTTGTGCAGTGTTATTGTTATTGTAGTATTTTTTTTAAATACTGTTGTTTTGTTAATATTTTAAACAGGCTTTTACATTTAAATTAAATTTTTTTTGTAAGTTTTAAGAATTCTATGTGCATTTGTCATTCCTAATAGTTTTTGTTTTTTATATTTTTGTTCTTTAATTTTTTATTTTATTTTAGTAATTTTAGTCAACTTATTTATTTCAAATCATTTTTTTTTTCAATTTAAGTTTTATTTTATTTGACAAAACCTTTTTAATATAGTTATTTCTAGTCAACAAAATTCCTGGTTTTGTGTTTCAAATGTTAACAGTTTTTATGCAAATAATATATCTACTTTACTAGTATAGTACAGATCTGTTACTTTAAATCAGTTCTCATCATCGGTTTGAGTGAACCAGTCAAATCATAACTTTACAGCATGATGACCATAATGGTTTGGCAGGGATTCATTCTTCGGGTTGGCTGGGTCGTTTATAATGTGTTTTTAAGCTCCAATCATTTGAAGTAAAGCCTGTCTCGGTGTGATTGGAGATAAAGCCGCAGGGGCTTGTGGGTAATGCAGTTTCTCCCCGTCCTCCAGGCTCTCCACGCTGAGATCGAGCAGCAGCGGCTGAAGGCGTCGGAGACGGAGGAGCAGTGCTGGACCCAACTCTCCTCTGCCGCCCTGGACCAGATCAGCGTGCTGCAGTGCATTCTGGGTAGCATGAAGGACACACAGGTGAGGGGCTGATCCGCTGGAACGTGTTGAGCTGGCGTGAATGCCGTGTGTCTTGATGCTTGTGTTGATGATGGACAGGTGAAGAGTGAGGAGGTGCAGCGCTGGCTGGATGCGGTCGAGGAGCTTCTGTCTCGAGACGCCGGCGGATTCAGTCGCGGGGACAAACTGCAGGAGGAACTCAGCCAGTGCAAGGTCAGAGGTCAACGCGCTAAACATAACATTGATGTGGACGGATACTGGTGAATAGGGTTGGGTATCGTTTGAATTTGAACGATTCTGATTCCGATTCCTTGTTTCGATTCCGGTTCCTAACGATTCTCGATTCCGATTCTTTTAAAAAGCAGGGTCAAAAAAGTTTAGCTAACCTTGCTAACCAACGGCCTTTCTGAAGGAAATACTCCTTCTGTCACAAATTTTGCATTTTGCCGAGATTTCGTTATTTTTAGAAAAGTGAAGCCACACTTGGGACCGCCGACGTAAGCTACTCATGTTCGACTCGCGCGGTTATGCCAACACTTCCGTTTAGACGCTTCTTCATTGGTGTTGTTCAGCGGTTTCTTCTTCCGCTCGGCGGACTGTGAATATCGAAACTAGGAATCGAAATTTTAACGTTTGAACGATTCCGGGAAAAACGAAAATTTAGCCCCGGTTCCAATCGATACTCGATTCTCGATACCCAACCCTACTGGTGAATAATCCAGAATAACGCTGATAAGTTACAAGCGTTCAAGTCTTTTTTTTACCAGAACCGAAATTGCGGGGGGGCGATGCGACTTTGTCACCATTTTCTATAAATTCACGTTTTTGTAGTTTACATGGAGACGATAACGCTATTTTTCTCACTTTTTTAAAAGTTTGTGTTTTCAGGCTCCCAAAACGTTGTTGTCATGTAAATGAATTGCCAAAGCGCATACATTTTTTTTGTGTTTTAAGTATTTCTGCATTTAATACGTTTTCTGGTATTACATTAATATTATGATGTACTAATGACACATTTTCGAAACAGAAATCTTCATGTAACCAAAACTAAAAAATGTAAGTTTACTCAAGCAATTAATGAAATGTAATAATCAACAGTCAAATAAAACCTGCTGTGTGAAATTTAGTTCACAAGCTGTTTTATTGACTTCTTTCTGCGGCTGAAACACTGATTGAGTGATTACATGAGACTTGATTAGTTGTAATGTATCTTTCATCATTCCTTCTGATGTTCATCCATGTTTATTTGGTGCTATAACTTGTAGTAAAGAGTAAAAGATGATCAGTCCATGAGCTGCTTGAACTGAAGCGCTCACGCAAAACCAGGATTAATTGTCAACTAATTGGCCGTTTAAACGTAAATGGGTTCGCTGAATGACTTCAGCCCTCAAAAGTGTTTAGAAACAGATTGTTTTCAGTGCATCACTAGTTTCTCTCAGTTGTAAGCCGGTTCAGGTGGTTAAATCAGCAGGACTTGACCTAGTTAAGAGTTTCTGTCTGTGGGGTTTGTGATTGTCCACTCTGTGTGTGCAGGAGTTGGTGAGTGAGATGGAGAGCGTGGACTCGTCCTTGAAGCAGATTGCAGAGAACGTGTCGGCTGTCCAGCAGAGTTCGACACCGGCTCTGATCCGCTGGGGACAGGAGGAGTTAGACCGCAGTCAGAGACGCTGGGACGAGCTCAGTAAACAGGTTCGTGCAACTCAGTGAACTGGTCTCAACACAGTGTACGAATCAATCAGTAACCCAACATCTCCTTGAGCGGATGTCGATGTAAAACACTTTCAATCTGGCTTGCAGTTGTTGAGGCGTGATGAGCGTGTGAGTGAAGGTCAGGAGAAAGTGACGAATATGAAGAAAGACGTGGCGGAGATGCGCGAGTGGATGATTCAAGTGGACGAGGAGTTCCTCATGAGAGACTTTGAGTACAAGAGCCCAGAGGAGCTGGAGGAGGCGCTGCAGGAGATGAAGGTGCTTATATATGGGACTCTCCCAAAACCCACACCCTTCACACGTCTACATATGGGAAGTTTTCCCTTTTTTTGGTCCAAGTGTATTAGTGGGCGTGAAGAGCCCGCAAGTGTTTGTTGAACTGTTTACAGAGCTCTGTTGTGATGTGTGTTTCAGAGAGCTAAAGAGGATGTGTTGCAGAAGGAAGTGCGTGTGAAGATCCTGAAGGACAGCATTAATGTGTTGCTCAGTAAGACGCCCTCTAGTGGTGGTGCCGACCTAAGCCCTGAGCTCACTGAAGTCCTGCAGAACTACCAGAAACTGTGTGATCGCTTCAAGAGCAAGTGCCACACACTTGAGGTACACACACACACACACACTTGTACATCTATATTTGTGAGGACATTCATTGACACAATGAAATCTTTAGTTCCTTATCCTACACCTACCCATCTCAACTAACTGCCTAACCCATGCCCATCTCAATTGCCTAACCCTTACCCTAACCCATGCTCATCTCAACTAACTGCCTAACCATTACCCTTAACCATGCCCATCTCAACGAACTTCCTAACCCTTACCCATCTCAACTAACTGCCTAACTCCTTCCCCAACCCATGCCCATCTCATTCCTGAAACCAAGTCTTGACCCTAAAACAAGCATTTAAAGGGGTCACAGAAAGTGAAATGTCTTTACTTTAATCTCTTTACTCTCTGTCCTCAATCTGCTGGTCTAAAACTCAAACCGGTCCCCACAAAGATAGTTGTATAAGTACACACACATGGTGTGATTGTTTCCTGTGGTCTCTTGAGCTGAAGTGTGTGTGTGTGTGCTGGTGTTCAGGAGGTGTGGTCCTGCTGGATCGAGCTGCTGCAGTATCTGGATGTGGAGTCTGGCTGGTTGAACTCGCTAGAGGAGAAGGTTCACGCCACCGAGAGCATCCCGGAAAACACAGAGTCCATTAGCGCAGCTCTGGAGGTAACGGCTGTCATGTGGACCTTGCAGTCATGTTCGCCATGGTTTCGCTGGAGAAATCCAGTCGATTCAATGGGAACTGAAGTCGATTCAACGCTACTTTGACCGTACCTTAAATACAATGAGGCTACATCTGTTTTTTGGTTACATCTGAATCAGCTCACGTTTGTCGTTCCAAACCCGTTAGACTTCCTTTCATCCTCAAAACACAATTGAAGATATTAATCATGAAATCTGAGAGAAATCTGTCCCTCCATTGGAAAAGTCTGTTCACCCAAAATGTTCATTAAGAGATTATAAAATAAGTCCATACGAATTTAGTCTTCTGAAGAGACTCGCTTGCTCCATATGATGATCAGATTGCTAGGTTTTTGATCAGCAAACATGAACAACTCATAGACACACGAGAATGAACCTCATTGGTTCTCGCGCATCAAGCAAGCATGCTTAGTTTGTTGTTAGTTAATTGCTCAGTGTACATTTTGGGTGAATATACTTTCAGTGGATGGACAGAAATCTCTCTCTCACACACACACAATCACACTGAGACTTCTTGATTTCATTACTGTTCGGAAGATGGACAATAGTCTTCTAGAAACGACATGAGGGTGAGTAATTAATGAGTAATTAATGTGTTGTGTGTCTCTCTCAGGCGTTGGAGTCTGTTCTGCGACACCCGGGGGATAACAGGACTCAGATTCGAGAGCTGGCTCAGACTCTCATAGACGGAGGGATTCTGGACGAACTCATCAGCGAGAAGCTGGAGACTTTCAACTCGCGCTACGACCAACTGACCCAGCTGGTGTGTGTGTGTGTGTTAAAGCGATCAAGTGAATCCTTTAAGAACCCATTCAGATTCACATTAGTCAATCAGTTACGTTACATTCATGTGTGTGTGTGTGTGGGTTGCAGGCTGCTGCACGTCAGATGTCTCTGGAGCAACAGTTGGGGACTCTGAGGGAGAACGAGACGGCCTTACACACACTACAGACGTCTCTCACACAGCTGGACCAGACACTCACGTCTTACCTCACAGATCGCATCGACGCCTTCCAGCTGCCGCAGGAAGCTCAGGTGTGAACACACACACACACCACACACACACTCTTCCTGACATACACTAGATTGTTAATGTTTTAAAACTATTTTCAACATTGATAATAATCAAAAATGTTTTTTGAACATCAAATCACCATATTACCCAGACAGCAAACTGACATTGAATCAACATGGAAACGACGTCTCTCATGACATTGAAACAACGTTGATTTTGCTCATCGAATTAACGTTGAACCAACGTCAGACGCGGCATTCTTCAAAGCTAAATGAAAATCGAAAATTGGTTTGCTTTCATAACGTTGAAACAACGCGTTGATTTCAAGTTGATTTTCCGTTAGTTTTGAAAGAATGACGCGTCTGACGTTGGTTCAACGTTAATTCGATGAGCAAAACAATGTCAGATCAACGTTGTTTCGATGTCATATTTCCACGTTGATTCAATGTCAGTTTGCTATCTGGGTAGAGTGATATCTGAAGGATCATGTGACACTGAAGATTGGAGTAATGATGCTGGAAATTCAGCTTTGATCACAGGAATAAAATGCATTTTACAATATATTCACATAGAAAACAGTCATTTTAAATTGTCAAAATATTTTTATCAACTAAATGCAGCCTCGGTGAGCAGAAGAGACTTATTTAAAAATATTAAAGGGGTCATGAACTGGCTTATTATATTGTTGTCTGAGGTCAATTTAAGACGTTCGCTTGGTTTTTGCGTTCAAAAACATCAGAATGAATCAGTAATAGGCTATTTTCTATCCTAGTTTTGAGCCTAGCTGAAAAACGCTCGGTTTTTATGGGCGTCTCGCACTGAAGACTTGGAAGTAAACGCCCACTGCTGTGAGTGGATAACAGTTTTGCATATTATAATGAGTTTCGACTCACCCGTTGATGCTCTTGGGGGAAATTGTTTTGAAAACGTCCAATGTTATAAAATGTTAACCAGAGTGATTCGCCCATACATGTTCGACCCAGAGTCCGTGTGTTGCACCATTCCTGTCAGATCCAATATAGACGGCACAACACCGTTCTTTACTCTTAATCGCTCTGCAAATCCAGTCTTGTTTACAAAACAATCCTCAGTGAAATGACGCGAACAGACGGACGATGTTTTACCTCATCAGCTGGAACGTCATTAAAAATAACGTTTATCCATGCAGTCCTATTGGAGTCCAGAGGAAGCATACAGCGACATATCATGTATTGCTCAGTAGCTCGATCCGGTTTGTCATCATGAGGTAGGTATCTATGTTATTTAGCTATGCGTGTAATGCGTGAATCGGTGGGCGGCGCTAACGGCCGTGTTGAAGTAGGCGTTGATCTTCTTCTGCGGGGGTGGGGTTTTATCCTCTATGACGTCATAGTTCCCCACTTTGAAAAACGAGTCGTTTGCTGAGGCTGGTGTCAATAAAAGCTTTTATTGGACTAACAAGGACGTTTTCATTTCTGAAACTTACAGGACATTCTAATAATATGATGACCTCTTAGATGACAAAAGCTCAAGGAAAATTTGATTTCTCAGTTCATCACCCCTTTAAAAACATTTTCAATATCAGATATACTGTAAAACAACTTTGTGCTTATTCTTTACTCTTTGGCCTTTAACTTATAACAATATTCTCCTCAGGCCATTCAGGCTGAGATCACGGCCCATGAGGCCACACTGGAAGATCTGAGGAGGAGGAACGTGGGAAACGTGCCTTCGACCGCACCAGAGGGCAAACCAGTGCGAGCAGGAACCCAACTGGAGCAGTTACAGGTGCGACTCAACACTGCCCCCGCAGGACGGGAGGGACTGCAAAAGCTGCATAGTGGTCATACTTCACTTCTGCACTGTACACTAGGGATGTGTCCGAAGCCTCACTCCAAATTTGGAAATGAATAACGCATTCTACGGGGCCCCTAGAGGTACATGGTTAGGCTATAGTGTATTCCAGCTTAAGGTGTGTGTCTGTGTCTGTTTAGCGTAAGCTCCGCGAGATTAGCACGAAATACCAGCTGTTCCAGAAACCGGCCAACTTTGAGCAGCGAATGCTGGACTGCAAGAGGATTCTGGACAGCGCTAAAGCTGAGCTTCACATCCTGGACTTGAAGGACACACAGCCAGAGGAGATACAGACACACCTGAGCGGATGCATGGTGAGAGAACACACCGGAGCTCTTTTCTGTGTGTGTGTGTGTGTGTGTGTGTGTTTCAGGTTTATTACAATTTAAAAAAAAAAAGTTTACGGAGACTACATGCAAGCATGTTGTGTTTCTGAATGCAGAAGCTGTATAAGATCTTGAGCGAGGTCAAGCTGGAGGTGGAGACCGTGATTAAAACAGGAAGACAGATCGTACAGAAACAGCAGACGGAGAATCCTAAAGGAATGGATGAACAGCTCACTGCCCTCAAATTACTCTACAACGAGCTGGGAGCTCAGGTACACACACACACACACACACACACACATGTTTAAAACTAGGGCTGGGTTTGAAGACAAATTTCACAATTCGATTCGATTTCGATTCAATATCGATTATTTTGGATATCAGTTACAATAAATGGCCATTTTTCTCAAGGGAATCAAATCTCTTAACTAATGCTGTAAACTATGGGAGTCTAGTTATAGCCAATAGACCTCATTATCCTAATATGAAGGTAATAATGAACAGTTTTGTAGCTATACAAACACTTAAATTACACTTATTTATTTTTATAATAAGAAGATTATATGAAATGTAAACATTTAAATGGTGGCTGTCATAAAAACGTGCCAGATTTATTCAAATATGCATTAAATATTGAAGAATATTAAGATTATAATGCATATGTAATATGGCGTATATATTTAGCAAAATGCTCCTCTCTAGAGTTATTTTTTCTAGCTGACTAACGAGTTTATGTGGGTTTTCTGAGGTAAATATGACGATGACATTGATTACAAGCTGTTTAACTGACGTCTTTCCACGGTTGAAACGCTGATTGAGTGAATCAATGTGACATGATCCGGATTTTGATAAGTTGTACTCTATCTTTAACACACTTTCAGATGCTCATTCATGTTTATTTGGCGCTGTGACTGGTATTATTAAGCCGGAAGAGAGATCAGCGCTGCTGCTTCTCCAGAGCGATCTCACGCCACAGCGACAAAACGCTATTTATGTTTTTGAATTTCTAAAGAAAATGGACGTAATTTGAAAATTGAGACTTTGTTTCATATCAATAGTAACAAAGGACAAAGATTATTGCGTTTTTTTGGATGCGCGCAGCTGCGATACAATGATCCATTCATTCAAATGAAACAGGATGACTAATCGATTCTTGAGATTTAAGAATCGATATCGGTTCGTAAAAATGAGAATCGATTCATATCGAGAAATCGATATTTATCACCCAGCCCTATTTAAAACTGCTATAAAAGCATGTTTTTGTCTTTAAAATTGTGCTTTTTCCACTGTCCTCCACCCAGTCGGCGGATAACATGAAGCCCCGCCCCACTCGTGTAATGGAAGTAAAATGGGTGGAGGAAGCAATTTCATGTTGACTTTAGCCATCAAATGTGTGTGTGTGTGTGTGTGTGTGCTCAGGTGACTGAGGGTAAGCAGGATTTGGAGAAGGCGTTGTGTGTGTCTCAGCGACTGCAGAAGGACAGCGCCGCCCTGCAGGCCTGGATGAAACACACTGAGGCTCAGCTGAAGGAGAAGCTCGACACAGGAGACATGCCTGCGGACATCGACTCCGAGATCACATGGGCCAACGTGAGTGTGTGTGATGGAGTCTCTTTTGGACACAGTGTGTGTGTGTGTGTGTGTTAAAGAGCGTGTCCCTGCAGGGCCTGCTGAAGGAGTCCGAGCGCAGGAAGAGCGATCTGTGTGTGGTGACGGAGAACAGCGCCGCCCTGCAGGCGTTAGTGGAGGGCAGTGACGCTCAGCTGGAGGAGCAGCTGTTCCAGCTCAACGAGGACTGGGAACGAGTGCACACGCTGGTCGAGGACTGGCTCAGCGCTGTTCTGGTGAGTGTGTGTGTGTGTGGACTGCTGAGGGCAACGTTAAACTTATTTACCCACAGTGCACTTGTTCAGGTTAATATTCTGCTTCATTTTGTGCTCCGTAGTTTGTAGATACTGATCAGAGGAATAACAGCACGCACACACACACTCGCATGCGCACACACACAGTAATTATTCAGTAAATGATGGGGGAAGACCTTCATAATTATTCATTTATATGCAAATTCTTTCACATGGGATGATTCAGTCATTAGCTGTCTGTTTGCCAGAATTTAATTAACAACCAAGTGGTACTGGTCTGAAATTTATGAGCATATAATATAATAATATAATATAATATAATATAATATAATATAATATAATATAATATAATATAATATAATATAATATAATAATATAATAATATAATATAATATATGAACTCGTAATATGATATATGACTATAATATGAATCATGTGACTATAATATGAATCGCATTAATATTACCTTTTTTTCTTAAGAGATGCATTAAATACATCAATAGTGGATGAACAACATTTTCATTTCATGTTTTAAATAGTATATGTTTGAGATAATGTACATCCAGACGGTGGTTCTCTCAAAATAACCCCCAAAATATTGATTTTACTGAGTTTATATTTTATTAGCTCACCAAATGCAAAACTTCCACGAAGAAAAACCGTTCCTATCAAGTTTTAATGTAGAAACAATAATAGTAATATTTGTTAGTCTTATTATTACTGTGTTTTTTTCTGATTCTTAAAAGATTAAATGTATTAATACTGAATGGACAAAATTTTTATTTTCATATTGTGTTTTACATCGTAAATATGTTAAAATAGGTTAATATTATTATTAATAATTAAAAAAAAAAACTCACCTTTTTCCCACACCTTTGAAAGATGAATTACAAGCAGCAAAACTAGCTTAAAGAGGTAAAAGTAGACAGGCTAATGTGCTAATTACATTTAACTGGAAAATAATGATTACATGAAATAACTTTACTGTCTGTATTGCGCATTAACATTAGCTAGAGATGCTGTGTCATGTCCTGTGTGTGTGTGTGTTGTAGAATCACAGACGTGAGGTGGAGATGTTCGATGAGAATTTGGCTCATATCAGCACATGGCTCTATCAGACTGAGATACGACTGGATGAGATGGAGAAGAAACCTGCAGCTGAGAAAGAGAGAATGACCAAGGTCAAAACACACACACACACACAGACTCAGATTATTTGAGTGAAACTTAATATTCAGCTGGATATGATATACAGTATAGTATGTATGGATATACACTACCGGTCAAAAGCTTTAGATCGGTAAGATATTTTTATGTTTTTAAAAGAAGTCTCTTCTGCTCACCAAGGATGCAATTGTTTGATAAAAATGCACACAAAAAAAACAGTAATATTGTGAAATATTATTACAATTTAAAACAGCGGTTTTCTATGTTAATATATAGTGAAGTGTAATTTATTCTTGTGACCAAAGCATCATTACTCCAGTCTTCAGTGTCACATGATCCAACAGACATTATTATAATATGACGCTCAAGAAACATTTGTTGAAAACAGTTTTTTACATGTTTATTTCAGGATTCTTTGATGAATAGAAAGTTCAAAAGAACAGAATTGATCTGAAATGGAAAGCTTTTTGTAACATTAATCACTACCATTCAAAAGTTTGGGGTCAGTAAGAATTTATTTTTTATTTTTGGGGGAAAGAAATTAGAAAATACTTTTATTCGTCAAGGATGAGTTAAATTGATCAAAAGTTACAGTAAAGACATTTATAATGTTCGAAAAGATTATATTTTAAATAAATGCTGTTCTTTTGAACTTTCTATTTATCATAGAATTTTGGGGGGAAAAATGGTACACGACTGTTTTCAACATTGAAAATTATAATTTATGTTTTTTGAGCATAAAATCAGCATATTAGAAGGATTTCTGAAGGATCATGTGACTGATGTGTAATCAGCAACAGTAATGATGTTGAAAATTCAGCTTTCAAATTACATTTTAAAATATATTAAAATAAAAAACAGTCATTTTAAATTGTCATAATATTTCACAATATTATTGTTTGTCATTTTTTTTCATCAAATAATTGCAGCCTTGGTGAGCAGAAGAGACATTTAAAAACATAAAAAATATTACTGATCTAAAACCTTTGACCGATAGTCTATGTATATACCACAACCCAATTACATGTATTATCAGACGCATTAGTGTCAGTTTTCATGTTTTGTTTTAAAGCTGTGTGTGTGTGTGTGACAGGCTGTGTTGTGTGAGTTGGAGGGCATGAGTGCTCGTGTGGACAGTGCTCGTGATCAGGCAGTGATGTTGATGACCAGCAGGGGTCCTGCATGTAGAGAACTGGTGGAGCCCAAACTGGACGACCTCAACCGCACCTTCCACAAGGTGGCGCAGCACATCAGCTCTGCTCAGGTGAGAGGCCAGCGCTCACAGGGCTCTCAGAGGACCGGCACTCGCCGGCGGCTGCTGACTCTGTGTGTGTGTGTGTGTGTGTGTGTGAGCAGGTGTCTGCTGGTCTGGAGGTCACACAGGATCCACAGCAGGAGCTGGTTGACGCTGGATCTGCTCCTCTTCGCTCCTCCTCACAGCTGCCGCTGTTTGAGTCAGACATACAGACTACTGTCAGAGCACTGGAGCAACAGGAGCAAACACACACACCTGACGACCAGAGGGTAATGCACACAAGCACACACACACACACACACACACACACACACACACACACACACACACACACACACACGCCTGCCGACCAGAGGGTAATGCACCCAAGCAAAGCACACAGACACACACACACACGCCTGACGACCAGAGGGTAATGCACACACACACACACACATTCATGTCTATATTACTAACAGGGGACTATCGCTCTACACTGGCCAAGAGGGGACTAGTGTTTCTGAAGAAACAAAAATGTTTTACGTCTTTATTCATATTATAACTTTAAATATGCATTTTTTTATTAAAAAAACAAACAAAACATGCCAAGTGGGGACCTGAAAAAATTCACCAGAGCGTTTTTTACTTGATTTTAACATGTTTTAAGGCATAACCAACAGAATTGGTATATTTACGGCTGTTACGACAGTGTTTACTGCTGTTACGGCTTTGATACGGCTATATTTATGGCTGTTACGACAGTGTTTACTGCTGTTACGGCTTTGATACGGCTATATTTACGGCAGTTACGACAGTGTTTACTGCTGTTACGGCTTTGATTCAGCTATATTTACGGCTGTTACGACAGTGTTTACTGCTGTTACGGCTTTGATACAGCTATATTTACGGCTGTTACGACAGTGTTTACTGCTGTTACGGCTTTGATACGGCTATATTTATGGCTGTTACGACAGTGTTTACTGCTGTTACGGCTTTGATACGGCTATATTTACGGCTGTTACGACAGTGTTTACTGCTGTTACGGCTTTGATACAGCTATATTTACGGCTGTTACGACAGTGTTTACTGCTGTTACGGCTTTGATACAGCTATATTTACGGCTGTTACGACAGTGTTTACTGCTGTTACGGCTTTGATACGGCTATATTTACGGCTGTTACGACAGTGTTTACTGCTGTTACGGCTTTGATTCAGCTATATTTACGGCTGTTACGACAGTGTTTACTGCTGTTACGGCTTTGATTCAGCTATATTTACGGCTGTTACGACAGTGTTTACTGCTGTTACGGCTTTGATTCAGCTATATTTACGGCTGTTACGACAGTGTTTACTGCTGTTACGGCTTTGATACAGCTATATTTACGGCAGTTACGACAGTGTTTACTGCTGTTACGGCTTTGATTCAGCTATATTTACGGCAGTTACGACAGTGTTTACTGCTGTTACGGCTTTGATTCAGCTATATTTACGGCTGTTACGACAGTGTTTACTGCTGTTACGGCTTTGATACAGCTATATTTACGGCAGTTACGACAGTGTTTACTGCTGTTACGGCTTTGATTCAGCTATATTTACGGCAGTTACGACAGTGTTTACTGCTGTTACGGCTTTGATACAGCTATATTTACGGCAGTTACGACAGTGTTTACTGCTGTTACGGCTTTGATTCAGCTATATTTACGGCAGTTACGACAGTGTTTACTGCTGTTACGGCTTTGATTCAGCTATATTTACGGCTGTTACGACAGTGTTTACTGCTGTTACGGCTTTGATACAGCTATATTTACGGCAGTTACGACAGTGTTTACTGCTGTTACGGCTTTGATTCAGCTATATTTATGGCTGTTACGACAGTGTTTACTGCTGTTACGGCTTTGATTCAGCTATATTTACGGCAGTTACGACAGTGTTTACTGCTGTTACGGCTTTGATTCAGCTATATTTACGGCAGTTACGACAGTGTTTACTGCTGTTACGGCTTTGATTCAGCTATATTTACGGCTGTTACGACAGTGTTTACTGCTGTTACGGCTTTGATACAGCTATATTTACGGCAGTTACGACAGTGTTTACTGCTGTTACGGCTTTGATTCAGCTATATTTACGGCTGTTACGACAGTGTTTACTGCTGTTACGGCTTTGATTCAGCTATATTTACGGCTGTTACGACAGTGTTTACTGCTGTTACGGCTTTGATACAGCTATATTTACGGCAGTTACGACAGTGTTTACTGCTGTTACGGCTTTGATTCAGCTATATTTACGGCAGTTACGACAGTGTTTACTGCTGTTACGGCTTTGATTCAGCTATATTTACGGCTGTTACGACAGTGTTTACTGCTGTTACGGCTTTGATTCAGCTATATTTACGGCTGTTACGACAGTGTTTACTGCTGTTACGGCTTTGATACAGCTATATTTACGGCTGTTACGACAGTGTTTACTGCTGTTACGGCTTTGATACGGCTATATTTACGGCTGTTACGACAGTGTTTACTGCTGTTACGGCTTTGATACGGCTATATTTACGGCTGTTACGACAGTGTTTACTGCTGTTACGGCTTTGATACAGCTATATTTACGGCTGTTACGACAGTGTTTACTGCTGTTACGGCTTTGATACGGCTATATTTACGGCTGTTACGACAGTGTTTACTGCTGTTACGGCTTTGATACAGCTATATTTACGGCTGTTACGACAGTGTTTACTGCTGTTACGGCTTTGATACGGCTATATTTACGGCTGTTACGACAGTGTTTACTGCTGTTACGGCTTTGATACAGCTATATTTATGGCTGTTACGACAGTGTTTACTGCTGTTACGGCTTTGATACGGCTATATTTACGGCTGTTACGACAGTGTTTACTGCTGTTACGGCTTTGATACAGCTATATTTATGGCTGTTACGACAGTGTTTACTGCTGTTACGGCTTTGATACGGCTATATTTACGGCAGTTACGACAGTGTTTACTGCTGTTACGGCTTTGATTCAGCTATATTTACGGCTGTTACGTACGGCTAGATACGGCTACACCAGAGCGTTTTTTACTTGATTTTAACATGTTTTAAGGCATAACCAACAGAATTGGTATATTTACGGCTGTTACGACAGTGTTTACTGCTGTTACGGCTTTGATACAGCTATATTTACGGCTGTTACGACAGTGTTTACTGCTGTTACGGCTTTGATACGGCTATATTTACGGCTGTTACGACAGTGTTTACTGCTGTTACGGCTTTGATACAGCTATATTTACGGCTGTTACGACAGTGTTTACTGCTGTTACGGCTTTGATACGGCTATATTTACGGCTGTTACGACAGTGTTTACTGCTGTTACGGCTTTGATACGGCTATATTTACGGCTGTTACGACAGTGTTTACTGCTGTTACGGCTTTGATACAGCTATATTTATGGCTGTTACGACAGTGTTTACTGCTGTTACGGCTTTGATACGGCTATATTTACGGCTGTTACGACAGTGTTTACTGCTGTTACGGCTTTGTTACAGCTATATTTACGGCAGTTACGACAGTGTTTACTGCTGTTACGGCTTTGATTCAGCTATATTTACGGCTGTTACGTACGGCTAGATACGGCTACACCAGAGCGTTTTTTACTTGATTTTAACATGTTTTAAGGCATAACCAACAGAATTGGTATATTTACGGCTGTTACGACAGTGTTTACTGCTGTTACGGCTTTGATACAGCTATATTTACGGCTGTTACGACAGTGTTTACTGCTGTTACGGCTTTGATACGGCTATATTTACGGCTGTTACGACAGTGTTTACTGCTGTTACGGCTTTGATACGGCTATATTTACGGCTGTTACGACAGTGTTTACTGCTGTTACGGCTTTGATACGGCTATATTTACGGCTGTTACGACAGTGTTTACTGCTGTTACGGCTTTGATACAGCTATATTTATGGCTGTTACGACAGTGTTTACTGCTGTTACGGCTTTGATACGGCTATATTTACGGCTGTTACGACAGTGTTTACTGCTGTTACGGCTTTGATACAGCTATATTTACGACTGTTACGACAGTGTTTACTGCTGTTACGGCTTTGTTACAGCTATATTTATGGCTGTTACGACAGTGTTTACTGCTGTTACGGCTTTGATACAGCTATATTTACGGCTGTTACGACAGTGTTTACTGCTGTTACGGCTTTGATACAGCTATATTTACGGCTGTTACGACAGTGTTTACTGCTGTTACGGCTTTGATACAGCTATATTTACGGCTGTTACGACAGTGTTTACTGCTGTTACGGCTTTGATACAGCTATATTTACGGCTGTTACGACAGTGTTTACTGCTGTTACGGCTTTGATACAGCTATATTTACGGCTGTTACGACAGTGTTTACTGCTGTTACGGCTTTGATTCAGCTATATTTACGGCTGTTACGACAGTGTTTACTGCTGTTACGGCTTTGATTCAGCTATATTTACGGCTGTTACGACAGTGTTTACTGCTGTTACGGCTTTGATTCAGCTATATTTACGGCTGTTACGACAGTGTTTACTGCTGTTACGGCTTTGATACAGCTATATTTACGGCTGTTACGACAGTGTTTACTGCTGTTACGGCTTTGATTCAGCTATATTTACGGCTGTTACGACAGTGTTTACTGCTGTTACGGCTTTGATACAGCTATATTTACGGCTGTTACGACAGTGTTTACTGCTGTTACGGCTTTGATACAGCTATATTTACGGCTGTTACGACAGTGTTTACTGCTGTTACGGCTTTGATACAGCTATATTTACGGCTGTTACGACAGTGTTTACTGCTGTTACGGCTTTGATACAGCTATATTTACGGCTGTTACGACAGTGTTTACTGCTGTTACGGCTTTGATACAGCTATATTTACGGCTGTTACGACAGTGTTTACTGCTGTTACGGCTTTGATACAGCTATATTTACGGCTGTTACGACAGTGTTTACTGCTGTTACGGCTTTGATACAGCTATATTTACGGCTGTTACGACAGTGTTTACTGCTGTTACGGCTTTGATACAGCTATATTTACGGCTGTTACGACAGTGTTTACTGCTGTTACGGCTTTGATACAGCTATATTTACGGCTGTTACGACAGTGTTTACTGCTGTTACGGCTTTGATACAGCTATATTTACGGCTGTTACGACAGTGTTTACTGCTGTTACGGCTTTGATACAGCTATATTTACGGCTGTTACGACAGTGTTTACTGCTGTTACGGCTTTGATACAGCTATATTTACGGCTGT